TTTTGAAGCAGTGTAATATATATCAGGAAACATTACCAATAAAATACCTTTACCATTGGTATTGAATAATGCTGCCATCATTTTGCATAAACTTTGAAAACGAAGAAAGCTCATCTCTCATTTAAGGATGGCTGTTTATGCTGGTATTTTTAACACACTTTAAATGGTAAATTTGAAAAATTATTATCTGGTGAGATAGTTCTTTTAAAATTAATGGCAACCCTTAAAACCATGCCTGTAGTAGAGGAGAGAGCACATCTGAAATGGGTAAACAATATTTTATTCATTGGACGTGTTTGCTGAAGTAGATGTGCTTCACATGCAACTCAACACGAGAGCCAGTAAATAGCCCTTAACATGCCCGTCCCGGCTGAGGGGTGGCCATCAGGTCTTTTTAAGGTGTTTGAGTTGTTCAGACAGTGTAATAGCTAAATCGAAATTAGGCTGATTAATTAGAGTTTATGACTTTTTCTCCCAGCGATTACCTGACCCTTCAGGTCCTGGTTGCAGCTGTGTCTCTCGCTGCCTCCTGGGACAGACTAGAACTTCTCACGTGGCTCGTGAGCACTGTCAGAGAGTTACCGCAGTGTCTCTTCACTCTAAAACATGAGTTGTCTGAGTGTATGATTAAGTGCTTTCATGGCAATATAGTTGTAGTGATACTTGTCATAGTTTTGACCTTTTTGGGATCTGCTGCAGTTTCTCTGAGACTTTTGAGCATGTGGGAACTCCATACGTGAGCACCTTTATGTCTCTTTTAAAACCTGGGAAACTGAAGGCCCTTGGGACGTTCTGAGGTTGGGCTGCTGTGTTTGCTTCGTAACATAAATTCTCTCTCTCCATCCTTGTTTTTAAGGGATTCTGAGGACAAAAACAAATTTGTATTAAACTCTGCTCGAGATGATTCCCAGCCTTTTATAGCCCTTGCTTTTAAACTGGAGGTAAGCTTTAACCATTTTCCCCTCTAACGCAGCAAAACTAGTAGGGACGTGGTGCGTTTCCTGCAGGAGTCGTTGGTGTATGCCACTCCCGCTTGCCCTCAACTATTGCTGCCTTGTCACTGATGCCTGGGAAGTGCCTTTTGTTTGGGGGGGAAAGCACACTAATTTAAAGTTTGGGGTTTTCAGTGTATCTACTGGCTTTTTTGCTTGGTCGCTGTGTATACAGTAGAGTTTCCCACGCTACCAGTATCTGACCTCTGTGGAGTAAAAGTTGTGCTCACTTTGTGTTAACCCTGAAGGAGGAAGGAAGGGATCCAGATTCATTATTTCTGATTGGAGTAGAAAACAGACCAAGTCCAAACAGATGGTTTTACCAAAACTTACGTAAAACAGATTTTAAAATCAGTTTATGTTTAAATTAAATTAAACTTCTAAAAAACTGATTTCAACCATAAAATCCACAAATGTATCAAACGTTGCCAATTTAGAAGGTTTAAAATGGGTTATGTGCCTCAAATACTTCGTGGTTTTCTTAGTTAAAACCTGAATGCTTGGGGGGTTTGTTGGCTTATTTCAAATATATTTGGGGAAAAATCCTGCTTTTAAGTTGAAGAGAGTGGAACACAAAGTCAGAGAGGAAAAAGGACTCGGTTTTAACCAAACAAGTTGTTTGCTACCTAGAGAGGAGCAGTTAAAATTTTCATATGGCCAAATTGCTCGTTAACATTTGCCTTTGTTGGGAAAGCTTAGGAGTGGTAAAATTGGTGAAGTCAAGAAAATTGCCAGGAGATGCCAAGTTCTGTTCCAGAGCCAAGGGAAAGCTGAGGCTGCATTCGCAAAAGTTTCCTGTGTAAATTAAAACCAGAAACATTTAGTCGGTCACCACAGACTCTGCTTTGAGTAATTAGAAGTCTTGATTCCCAGAATGATTTTTATCTGATTTTCAATGAATTTTGATTCCAGGCTGGCCGTTTTGGGCAATTAACCTACATTCGAGTTTATCAGGGGATGCTGAAAAAATCTGATTATATCTATAACACGAGGACTGGGAAGAAAGTGCGTGTACAAAGACTTGTCCGGATGCATTCAGACAACATGGAGGTGAGTGTGCCAGGCACCGTCCACACGAGCTGCCTTCTGAGCCGCTCGGACCAAACAAGCTTCTTGCTTTTCAGCGAAGTGATATGTCTCAATTCCTGCTTTTGTTGTTAATCCCTGCTTGCCTGTGGCACTTTATAGAACTCTACGAGAAACTGGAATGATCTCTAGTGTCTTTATTTCCACCGAAGTGGAAGAATCTTTGCCCAAGAAGGGTTATAAAATGGCTTTGAGGTGACGGCTACAGAAAGCCAGCTGTGCCATTATCCATGCTTCTGGAGAGGGGAAATAGGATTGGCAAAATACACAAAAAAAAAAAAAAGCGTTCTTGCATGTGATTATTGAAGACAATTTTTAAACTAAAAATCGATACTCAAACTGCTGCAAATACTACCCTTTCCTGTTTAAGATCCCTGAACTCTGTAGCTGGGTCGGGACTGCCTGAAATACAGCATGTGGCTTGCTTCATGTCCTTAAACTGGAATGTTAGGATCCATTTTATCAAAGCTGGAATTTTCGAAGGAGCAAGCTTTTACACACAGTATTTCTGTATCTTCTTAAAACCGGCTGTCGTTTATAAAATATCTTCCAGTGTTATCTAAATAATAAACTTTCCTTTCTTAAGGATGTAAATGAAGTTTATGCAGGAGACATATGTGCACTGTTTGGAATCGATTGTGCTAGTGGTGATACGTTCACGGATAAAACCAGTACTGACATTTCCATGGTGAGTAGCCCTTGGCATCTGTGTGCCTCATGCGTTGGACTTTACCAGGATTTTGTTGTAAGAGTTTGTAATCGTTTGTTCAGTTTTAAATATTTTTTGATGTATATGTGCAACTACAAACATTTTTGGTGGTGATTTGTTATACCTGAAGGAGCCTAAATATATAGAAGTACAGTATGTGCAAGAGAGATACATTCCTGTTACCAGCGCTCGGCATCAAATATATTACTTCAGTGGTAGCAAACTGTTCTGGGCTGTTAGAAGTGGATGCTGTTACCCAAAAATACTAAGCTATGTATTTGTATGTTTATTTAAATACATCGGTTCTATTTATTTACAAAATCTGATAGGAAGCAGGGTCTTCTAATTAGTGTGAAATCCAGGGATCAACTCACACCTAGGAAACGGCGTTGGAAATACTGTGGTTGGCGTTAAAGCCTTGTAGTAATCCTCAGGAGAGTCACATCGGTTTGTGACGCTGTAATATTAGATACAAGCCAGATGAGTAAAGCAGGCATCCCTGTTCGTAACCCTGAGTTCTCATCACCCAACTTTCCTGGAGAAATTACATCGCCAGGCGAAGTGCAACTCAACTGTATGATCTCTTCCTTTGTGGTCGTTGCAGGAATCAATTCACATCCCTGATGCTGTCATTTCAGTAGCTATGAAGCCTTCCAACAAGGTAGGAGCCTGTGAATCAACCTTTTCCTCACCGAGTTACCTTTCCTCTGCTGCTTTTATAATTTTATGCAGGTTAGCAGTTAAATATGGCACCACAGACTAAAATGAGCCGTGTTTGAAAATGTTCTGTCCAAAGTATTTAAGATGCTATTCAAATAACTCGGTGTGTGACTGTGTTAGATGGTATCAGCCATAAAGAAGATGCGTGTCTTTGACCTGGGTGAATGTGGACTTGAAGTAACTAATAAATACAGCAATAAATGTATGGCTGTGTTTCAGAAAATAACCTCACGAGGCTAGAAGTGCTAAGCAGTTGATAGGAAAATTTGAGGCCTTTTTTGTTGTGTGACTTCCAGGTGTTGAGTTAATGTTTTCTCGCGTGTGTAATTGCTTTTCAGAATGACTTTGATAAATTTTCAAAAGGCCTGAGCCGCTTTACAAGGGAAGATCCGACTTTTAGAATCCGTTTTGATGATGAGAGCAAAGAGACCATTGTTTCGGGAATGGGGGAACTGCACTTGGAAATCTATGCCCAGGTAATTTAGAAAGCAGATTCCATGGCTTCTCCTTGTGACCTGTTTTCCCACCCAAGAATTCTCCTTCCTTTCTGGCTGAGACCAGAATCTGCAGATGGGCTAACTGATGCCTTCATGCCCCATTTTGTAATTCAGTGCCCAGGCACCCATTCATGTTTACAGGATGTTTTGCAGATGCACAACTCCACTTGCTTTTGTGTAAATCAAGGTCATCGTGTGAAAACAATTTTGAGATCTTCCCAGCAGAAAGCACGGTGGCATTAATGTGAATGATACCGGCTGCTTGGGGAAGAGCTTCACTTCTTAGTCAGCTTCTGAAGATTCCTTCTGTCCAGGGCTTCTATTTTAAAGGCTTGTAATCTACTTAAAAATATGGCAGGCAGAAGTTTCATTAACTTTTTGGTTCAAATCCATGAAAAGATGTTGTATTAAGCACTACACTTTGCTTTAACAGCCTTTGCTTATAATGAATTTTACCATTAGCCATTTCCTATGGGAGAGAGAAATACTCTGTGTTTTTAAATGTGTCATTCTATAGTAAGAGATGATGCAGGCAGGAGGGAATAGTTACAGAGATTTATTTGTTGCTTTCAAGTTGATGTCTATGTTTTATTTTGGTCTAACAATAGTGTATATGGAATGCTGACAGATTGAAGAAAAGATGGCTTTTGTCTTGGAAATCTTCAGTAAACTAATGAATGCGCTTCCCTTTCCCTGTATCTAAAACTATAGCCCCTAATCCAGGATGACCGCAGAATGACAGTGAATAATTTACAACATTTAAAGAAAAAAAAAACCACCACCAAGACCCCAAAAATCAATCCAAAAACCTGGTTAACCCCGATTAAGTTTCTTATTTCAGAAAGATCTGTAAATAGAATAATTTCCAACGTATTGTTCCAGTGGAACAACCCTGTATTTCATTCTGCTTTTTTTTCTGCAGCGAATGGAAAGAGAATACGGTTGCCCTTGCACCATGGGAAAGCCAAAAGTTGCCTTTAGGGAGAGCATCTCCGCACCTGTGCCGTAAGTACTCTTTCTGGTAACAAGTTTTTAAAATTTATTTTGGTGCAGAATTTGTTCATGTAGCAGAGAAAGTGCCTTTTGCATTGTCAGATCAAAGCACAACGTACAGGAAAAGCTTAACTTGAGGCAGGACGTTTTTTCTTGTACCTTGATTGCATCTCCCCCCTCATCACTTGGCTGCCCTCCCTTCAAATGCTGGTCGGAGTGTTTGAGGTTCCGTGGCGGTGTCGGGGGCTCCATCATTCCGGTGCCTCTTTTGGCTGACGGCTGTCCCGTGTCACTTCAACACCGTGCTGGGGGTGCCAGAGAACTGTCATTTGCCAGGGAATGATCTCCTGTGGGTAGAAGAGAAAACTCGGGGAAGAACTTTCTTTGAACACTGGCCAGGACTGGTGCTGTAATCCAGCCATACCTGGGCTGACTGTAAGCAGGTTGATGGAGCAGCAGTAACAGTGCAGGGTAAGCACTGTAACGTGCCGTCCTGCAGCCTCTCCAAATAGTTGAATTTCTCCTGCAAGCTTTTTTCAGCCTGTGTTGTGCTCCACGCTGCTGCAAGTACATTTTGCTTTCTTCTAGGCAAGTTTTGCAGCTCGAGCATGTCCATGTTGGATTACCCCTCTCACCACTAGTGCTAGCGCCCCTTCACTAAACAGAGCACAGTGAAGAACCTGTGCTTTTGTTCTGCTCTTAGCTTCTACATTGCAGGAACTGCTCTTCATGGAAAATTTAGGAACTAAAAGCACTGTAGATGCCCCAAGATAACAGAGAGTGCAGTGGGGTAGGAAGCAGTGGAGCTAGAAGTGGGAGTGAGGTCTCCGTTACCAGTGGATGATTTATTACAGGAGGTTGCTCAATTGCTCAATTGAGAACCTTTCAATTTTTCTGCATTTTTCTTACACTAGCTCAGATCACAAAACTATGATGGAGAATGGCATACAACATCAGTGTTGTTCTGGGAACTAAAGTTTCTGCTGCTTTCTTCTGTGAGCTACTGGGATAGGTGCTGCCTCTGTGTACTGGTCCCGCACGCTGTCCTCTAATGTAGAAGCACTCTGCAGCTCCAGCCAGGCTGCTGGTAGCTGCTCCGTCCCGGTATCCCTGACCAGTTTGGCAATGGGATCTCCCAAGAGGAGAAAGCCATGAATGACTCCCTTGCAGAAGGGGCTGTTGGGCATTGGAATGGGCTGCCCAGGGCAGGGGGGAGTCCCCGGGATCCCTGGAGGGGTTGAAGAGTCGGGCTGAGCCAGCGCTGAGGGATCTGGGGGAGTTGGGAACGGTCAGGGGGAGGTTCAGGGTTGGTCTTGAGGAGCTTCAAGGGCTTTTCCAACCAAATTGATTCTGTGATATTGAATCCCTGCCACTCCCAAGGACGGGTGGGAAATAGCTGAAAATCACCATCTGCTGACACTAGGTGGAGACCTGGTGTCTCCCACCTGCAGAGGGGCAGACGCTGAGACAGGGGGGTGATGGCTGCTCTAACCTCTCCTGGTTTGCTAACTGACCTGCAGGCATCTGGCCTGTGACCCCTCCAGATCTGCAGAGTTGGTTGGAGGTTATGCATTTGGCAGTCTTAAAACAAAACAAAAAAAGCCTTTTTAGAAATACGACGTTACCTGGGTCAGCATTTCGTGAAGTAGAATCTTGTAGTCAAATTCAAGATACTCATCGCTTCTTTTCTGGAAAAACAAGATGAAAAGGGCTGAATTTGGGGCTTCCCCTCCACCTTAAAAGTAGTGAATCAGTTCTCTTTAGCTGGCATAAAAACTGTCTGATACATTTCAAACACAACTGGCAGCTCCTATTGACAAATAAAGCAGATGGAGCTTAGTCACTATAGCAAAATGAAAAGATAGTGTTGTATTTCTGTGAACCCCCAAATTACATTTGAGAGACTGCGAAACTTAAAGCTATGCTAATTCCTCCCTTGAAGAAGCTCGATACATCTCAACTTCAGGAATTCATTTGGGAAGGGAACACCTGATTCAATAAAGTGTCAGTTTAGCCCAAATAATCTAAATAAAATTGTCGGTAGGATAAGACTTGGAGGGAACTCCAGAGGCCTTATAGTGGCTAAGAAGTTATCAGTGATTGCGTGAGAGACAGAATACCCACTGGCCTTTGGAACATTCTCCTTGTGTATCTATTCTTCAGCAAAAAGAAAAAGAACAAAATAACTAAAGAGAGGTGACAGCTGGTTTAGTTTAAGTGTCTCTGTCTGCCTCATCCTTAAATTCATCTGGTGCGTTAGAGGGTTTTGAGATCTTGCTTGTGCACAGCCCTGCAGCATCTGTGAGCTGCTTTCAGACAGCCATCAGAGGGAGCAAAACGTTAACAAATCCTGCTCCCAGAATGAGTTCCTGCCTTTCCTTCACACCCAGAGCTTCAGGGGAATCCACCAGCTGTTCTGAGTGGAAAAACATACGTGCTCAGGAAGTCTGTTCTGAAGACTCCTGATGTATTGGGTTTTCTAAATACAAAGTCCTGCTTCTTTATCCTAGATTACATACTAAATTTCCTTGAATTTAAAGTTGACCGTCCTTTTAGGAGTTATTCTTAATTCACAGAATGTTTTCTTCAACTAGAGAAGAACTGGGAGAATCTGTAGTATTCCATTAATTAAAAAAAACCCAAAACCAAAATCTTTGCTCTGATAACTCTTCTGAAAGCCAGCTGCTTTATTAGTTAAGCCTGTTCCAGGCAAGAAGTCTGCAAGGCCTGTTGATGGTGGCAGCTAATGACTCGATTAATTTGAACAGCCATGGTGAGATTGCCTAGTCATTTTTATTTCTTAGTTTAGGGCACATCCAGATCTGTCCAAGATAAACACAGCACTTGTAACCACTCAGAAATAAGCAAAAATAGAAAATATTTTGTCCTGAAGTATTCTGTTCCCTTTCTTGTGACATATGTCTTCCTGAATTCAATTTGCATATTGTAAAGTTAACTGATGCTTATCAGGCTAATGTAAGTCTTAAGAGCTCAACTAAAAATTAATTTTAGGTTCCCGTTCCCATCCTCCCCCCCCCCGCAAAAAAAAAAAAAAAACAAAAAAAAAAAAAAAAAAAAAAAAAAAATTAGTAAGTTTGGGAAAAACAGACTTTTAAAAGCTGATGAGAGAGTAATTACATCAATATTTTTCTTTATTAATAAGCATTCTGAAGTGAACTAGCAAATGGATGGAGACTGCAGTACTGCAAACAGAAGCAACGTAAATTGTGTCTTACTGAATTTGAAGTGCAGCCCGTTGGTATTTGTCTGGACAGAGAGATGTCGAGCAGTATTACTGTGACTGATTGCTAGATCAGGTGTAGATCAAGAGCTAAAGGACAGTATTCCAGTGCAGGCTATGCAGATACAAGAACACTGTCAGCTGGGCCTGCACCACAGATGAGAGGCAGAAAAGTAATATAAAATTGTAATCAACGTGATGACCTCTGAGTGGAAGAGTCAATCTTAACTAAGTCAGCATAGAATACTGCTCTTGCCAAGAAGACACAGCTTCTATAAGAAAAACTTATAGAGAAGAGTGGTAATGGAAATAAACACTCCAGCCATCAGTGAAAGCCTTCCTGATTTGGTAGAGGAAAGGGGCAGGAAAAGCAAACACCGGCTTAAAAACGAACCAGACCAAGAAATTCAGACACAATTGAAGTTTCTTGCTTAAGAACTTTTTGCTTCATCTGTGATCCAGTACACACACAACTTCTTAGCTCCAATGTACTGTATTTATTGCAGGGCATTGATGGTAACTTACCACTTGCTTCACGTGTTTAATTTGGGCAAGTTGGAACTTTGTGTTTTCAGTCGAGTTCTGCCATATCACGTAGCCAGAGGCGACCCACGCTAGCAGGTGGATGGGCTCCATTTCTGGGGACACATTGCCGTGGTTGTCTGCAGACAAAACGAACAATATCCATTAAGCAAGATCCGTGGAGTTGCAGCTGTTAACAGAACCTTATCACCTCAAGTCACTCCCTTCCTTACATTCCTTGCTGTGTCACACATCTTCCGTAGCAGCTTGGAAGAGTGCTACATCACCACTGTGTTTTCCTCCCACTTCTTTCTCTTAACTTGTATTCTCTAAGGTCTCCAAGGCAGGGGTTGCTCTAAAGTAAGAGCAGACCCTAGTACCACAGTCGGGGTGTCTGATGCCCTACTCCAGGGCCAGCCACAGCAGTGAGCAGGGCGCTGGTAAAGAGAGAGGAAGCAGTAGCAGGTAGTTTTCAGGAACAGTCACATGCAAATCACACGTCGGTTCTAGTTTCAGAAATGGTGAAGAGATTTAGTCGTGCTGTGATTGACACACCACCCCGAGTAAGAGGAAGTGAAGCAGCACATGTTCAGAGTAGGGCTAATGGCTCAATTCCCCCCGGTCCTGGCTTCTTACACGGACCACCCCTAGCCGAGCTTCTGGCCACGAAGCACGTGGGCTCAAGAATTTCCTTCTCACCCAACCCCCTTCCCTGTACCTGGTATGTTTTCTGCCACAAGCTCTTTTTCCAGGCTCTTGATTCGATTGTAGAACACGTTATCTGCTTCATCTGTGTTCTTAAGTTCTCCTTCAAGTGTGAATTGCACATCGGGAGCAATGTTTTTGTTGCCCAGATGATAAAGAACCTCAGCAGTGCAGTTAACAGTACTGTCCTGTTAGAGAGTTAATTAGGTGTATTAATATTTGATTAGATACATCTATAATATTGGTAACTTGTTATAATATTGGTAACGTGCTTCTAAAAATTTTTTTCCTTTATGTAGTTGCTGTTTTCGCTGAGACTGGCCCATAGAGATTTGTGATTATTTAAGACAAGGTTAAATTCGTAGTATTTCTGTGAATATGCTATCAGAGCAGTTTTCTTTCTGCAGTGATAGAAAAGGCAATGTTTGTGGTGCAGAATGTCACTTGTGCTATTCAGTTGGAGTAATGGGTTCAAATAACTTCACTTTGAAATTGAACGACACTGGAATGTCCTCAGGTATTTTCTTGACTCACAGTGGTAGGGACCAGGGCTTTGATGGTGTAAGAAATGGGGGTTCCCTTTTGGTAAAATTGAGCCTCTTTTTTTTTTTTTTTTTTTTTCCCCGATTTGCAATACAGCAAAATCAGAAACACAATACCAAGCATTATCAACTGCTGTGTCCGCTGGGATCAGCAGCATAAAGCGATGGCTTTTATTACACATCAGCGGTGCCAACTTCTGCCCCCAGAATGTATCAGATAAATCCGAACTCACTTTGTCAAGGACATCTTCTAACTCCAATTCCAGATGGTACTTACGCCCAACACCGTCGATGTCCTAAATAAGGAAAATGTTAAGAACATTTATTTTGTAAAAAGTTGAGTTACTTTGCGTTGTGGAAAAGACTGTAGTTGTGGGACACGCTGCAGTGGTGCTCGCGAAGAGTTAGGATCTTCTTTTATTTCTGCCTGCTGTGTTAAGGTCAGTCATTTAATATCCCCTGAGGAGTATCTCCTCGCCCATTCCTAGTCTTAGATATTGCTTGGGCTCCCCGTGTGATCGTGTGCAGGAACGTGCTGCTTGGTTAAAAACCCGGGCGAGAGTTAACGGGGCTCCTTGCCTTAAGTCACTTCATTATGAATTGCATCAGGGCATCGTATTTTTTGGGTAGTGACTTAAGCAGGTTCATTCAGCGATGGCCCCTGTTTTAGCAGGTTTACCACCAAATCTAGGACAGCTCGGGGGGGCACAGTTGGGCCTGTCCTGGCCAGGAGAAGATCATCCTCCCCCTAAGTCCGGTTCAGCAGGGGCTGGTGCCCTGCTCCTGCCCTGCTGGTAACCAACCACCCACGTAACCACCCAGCTGGTAACCACCCCATGAGTAACCACCCAGCCGATAAC